CGAATACGAATATAAACACAAACACGAATACTAGAACGAGCTTTAGATGATCACTGGCACAGCTAGTGAGCTATACTAGTGAGAATGGAAAATACAGAGAGAAAGAAAGAATCCAAACGAGTCCTTATACTCTTATCAATACCCAGCATTTCTGGCACATCGTCCATCACCAGATGACAGGATGTCTCCAAGTATTACGCAACTCCAGGCTTTACCTTTCATTTCACGGTCAACTTTGTTTTTTTTATTATTCTGCTTTTTTAAATACTGGCTTTGGTTAAATTGCACTGTACTTTCTTAAATATTGATGTTTTTAAACATATAAGCTCATCTTGATGTTACACTCATCAAGAGCTTTCATTTGAGTACCCACTTGCATTTTTGATGTATTTTTCATATTTACATATATATAATATATATAAATATATAAAATATATATATAAAATTGATGTGGGTACTCAAATGAAAGGTCTCGATGAGTGTAATGTCAGAGTGAGCTTATATTTTTAAAAATGTCAATATTTCACAAGATACAAGGTCATTTTTTAATAATTGACATTTTTTAAGATATAAGCTCATTTTGATGTTATACTCATCAAGAGCTTTTATTTAAGTACCCATCATGTATTTTGATATATTTTTGATATATATATAAAATATATGAAAAAATTGATGTGGGTACTCAAATGAAAGGTTTCGATGAGTGAAACATCAAAATGAGCTTATATCTTCAAAAATGTCAATAATTGACAAGATACAAGGTCATTTTTTAATTATTGACGATTTTAAAAATATAAGCTCATCTTGATGTTATACTCATCAAAAGCTTTCATTTGAGTACCCACTTGCATTTTCGATATATACCTTTCATATATACATATATATAATATATATATATAAATATATAAAATATATGAAAAATCGATGTGGGTATTCAAATGAAAGCTCTCGATGAATGTAGCATCGGGATGAGCTTATATCTTTAAAAATGTCATTAGTTTACAAGATACAAGGTCATTTCTTAATTATGTATCTAGAGAATTTTATAATAAAAAAAAATATCTCTTGTAATTTTTTCTTAGGACCGATCAAAAATTCAATAATAATAACAACAATAAGATTTATCTTGAGAATGTGGCACCTGAGGCCGAGTGCGATTATGTCAGGCCCAGATCTTGGCGTGTGTAGTGTTATCTGATGGTGAGTCTGAACAACAGAGGTGTCGGTTGTTTTTATTTTTTTATTTTTATTTGATCCATCTTACATCGAAGTTAACCGGCGTCACGAGCGCTCTGCCGCGACTGTCACGATTAATGGATCGAATTGCGAGAACCAATTAAGGATTGCGGGTAAGAAACGGGTGGTCGATTTATTTTTTTTACCTTTTTAATATTTTAAATTATTATTTTGCAAAAATAAAAATTAAATATAAAAAATTTTTTCCAAAAGTCACACCCAGATTTGCCTATTGAGTATTTTTACTTGATCGATCCTTCACCTCAGGATTTAAAGTCCTTGCTTACATCCGAGCACACACGTTCACGTCGAATAGAAGAGAGGAAAGGTATTTTTTATTTTATTCCCATCGACTCCCATCGGATCTTATTCCGTCTCTTTTATTTCTCCCGCATCTACATCGGGTTTTAGCTCACTCATCCCTCAGCGTACCGATAAGGCAGCATCATTGCGACTGATTGTAAAAGGGATGGCGTGTCCCTTTTATCCTTCCCACCCTACCTCATACTCGTCTTCATTCCGTCTGATAAAAAAAGTCTTTTTCAACTGCTATCAAACGAACCACCTTTGTTACTTCCGGGTCTCGATTCTCTACGAAGATATAGAAAATTCTGTTGAATTGATAAAAAGCTCCGGGAGCTCTTCGAGCTCCCCGAGCGCCCCCTCTTCCGACCCTAAAATTCCTCTAATGGGATCAATATCAATCATTAAAGTAATTACTTTTTCACAAAGTCACTGCCGACACTCAGGACCTCAAAAATCCTCTTTAAATTTATATATATATATATCTTTCTAGGCTCCTAATTTAGCGAAAAAAAAAAAAAAAAAAAAAAAATTCCACCCGGGATTCGAACTTACGATATCATATTTAATAATAAAAAAATTAAAATGACGATATCTCAGAAACTACTGGCCGCATTTTGACCTACCAAAGATATTTTAACTCCTTATAACTTCCTCTAGGGCGTATTATCACTCGTTTGTAGATGGCGCTCAGGTCAAATTGAAATTTAAAATGGCGATATCTCGGAAACTACTGGACTGATTTTGTCCAACCAAAGTTTATTTATCTTCTTGTAACTTCCTCTAGGCCTTGTTATCACTCTTAAAGGAAAATCTTTTAGGTTGACAAATGGTTTGGAAAATTTTTCAAAAATATTTTTAGGTTAGATCTAGTTACTAAAAATTCTTAGGAGTAATTTGAGCCCAACCAGAGCTCGATAGCTCGATTAGAACCCGAGATATAGCATGACAAGTACCCAAATCCTCGAAATCTTTAATTTTTAAATTTCAACAAAATTTCTGATGATTTTTTCGAAATTTGGGATTTAAATTATTAAAATTTAACTTCAGAAGCTTCAGTTAATTAAGAATTTTGAATAAAAAAAAAAAAAAAAAATTTGTCCAGGATTCGAACCCACGATTTCATATTTAATAATAAAAAAATTAAAATGACGATATCTCAGAAACTACTGGCCGCATTTTGACCTACCAAAGATATTTTAACTCCTTATAACTTCCTCTAGGGCGTGTTATCACTTTTTTGTAGATGGCGCTCAGGTCAAATTGAAATTTAAAACGTCTATATCTCGGAAACTAGTGGACCGATTTCGTCCAACCAAAGTTACTTTATCTTCTTACAAATTCCTCCGTGTTATAATATGACTTTCAAGTCTCAAGCCCAAATAATTCAATAGTTAAGAAAAAAAAACTATTGAAATGTCGTTAATGAGCTGCCTGAAGCGTATAAAAAAGCAATATAAAACACTGGGAGACTTTGGGAAAACTGGTAAAGTTTACGCTACAAAAGCAGTAGTAGGTTGGGGTGTCTCGGAACTTGTTCTGTCTGGGATCTCACTCGGAGAATTCACTCGACAGAAACAAGGGAACTGTGTTGTGTAACAGAAGGTCGTGCCCGAGAATCAAACGAACCGATTGCTTAAAACTTTTATTTATCTTTTAACTTCGACGTTTTATTTTACCGAAGAAATTCCGTAGGAACAGAAATTGAAATGTCAGTTTTCCTCTGAATTTAAATTTAGTTCCATTAATTCTGATCAACTAATTACAAATTTCCTTTTTTTTTTTTTTTTTATTATCATTAAATCAATACACAGAAAGGAAAATTTTTTCACTGCATGTAATTATATTTTGTCCCACAATTTTTTGGACAAATTGCTGTCAGAAAAAATAAGGGCTTTTATAAATGACAGGTTCTGTCATTTTTCGTCTAATTGACGTTAGAAAAATACTCACTTTGTCCAAAGGACAGTTGTCCTAACTGTCTGGACTCAGTTTAGTCGTCATTCGTAAAATGATATTCCTCTGGGTGTTATTGGTAGCTCTTGGAGTTGAAGACTCCAAGGAAATATTCCTTGGAACCAAACCGAGTCCTTTTAAAGACCTACTGGTGAGAATTTCCAGCAGCAGCAAGCTGCTGCTGGAATAATTGCACTAGTCTAATTGTTATTTTGTTTCAGGCTGACCTGCTGGAAAATTGCCACGAGCCTGAAACCGTTTTTTTTTACGGCAACGTCCAGGATGAGGTTGTGCAAGTAGCAGTGGACACTAACAGGAAAATCCAGCGGTTAAATAAAAGGGACGAGAATCAGATTGTCACTGTCAATTCCAAGGACTTGCTGGTGATATTCCTCGACCAGGTGAATAACTGGAGCAGGCGACTAGCAGAAGCTTTTATGGGGATCAACACCGTTTTTGTGGTGGTTGAAGAACTGAAGTTCGATCAGGCGAAAGTGATATTCGTGGATCTGTGGAATGCCAGTGAGAGCGCCAATGTTTTTGTTTGCTCGAAAACGGAGGATGGAAAGAGCTTGCAGGTTGTTACTTTCAATCCGTACTGCAATTACGCCCCCAAGGGGTTTTGGAGCAGGTGGAAGGAGCATAGAATATTTTTTGGGAGATATTCAACTGATAGAAGAATAGGTGAGATTTTTTGAGAAATTACCTTGTATCTTGGGAACTCTTGATATTTTTAAAGATATAAGCTCATTCTGATGTTACGCTCATCAAGAGCTTTCATTTGAGTACCCACATCAATTTTTCATATATTTTATATATTTATATATATATTATATATATGTACATATGAAAAATATATCAAAATGCATGTGGGTACTCAAATGAAAGGTCTCGATGAGTGTAATGCTAGGGTGAGCTTATATCGTTAAAAATGTCAGAAGTTGACAAGATACAAGGTAATTTTATAATTATTGACATTTTCTAAGATATAAGCTCATTCTGATGTTAAGCTCATCAAGACCTTTCATTTGAGTATCCACATGCATTTTTGATATATTTTTCATATATATAATATATATAATATATATATATATATAAAATATATAAAAAATTGATGTGGGTACTCAAATGAAAGGTCTCGATGAGTGTAATCTCAAGACGAGCTTATATCTTTAAAAATGTCAATAGTTCACAAGATACAAGGTAATTTTTCAATGATGTATCTAGAGATAATTATCACCGCCTAAATAATCATATATTTTCAAATTAATATTTCTATAAATATTAAGAAATATTCTTTAATAGTAACAAATAATTTTCTATTAAAAAAAGGCTTTGTTAGGATTAAAAATATATTATTAAATAAAAACAAATCTTTTTAATAATTAAAAATAATTTAAATCTCCACAGATCCATGCTCAATCCTGCTGTTCGACCGCACAAAGCACCTAGAAGACTACCCAATCCAAGTTGTACAATTCTTTTCAAACTCCTGGTATGAATCAATGGCGGCTAATTACTTAATAACCCGAAGAGGCATTCCCTCGGAGATAATAATACCTCACCTGAAATTCATACTAAGCAGCCTGACGTATTCCCTATCAGTCTCCATCAATCTAACAATCTTGACTTATTCAGACGACAAAATGTCTTCAATGCTCATCAAATTGTCCCTAAAAAAATTATCGGACCTCAAAGTCCGGCCTACCTTCACCAGCAACGCGAGCTTATTATCTCACTACGACCTTTCTTACCCCTTCCAATTCAACAGAGATGTAATCGTAACCCACCGCCGCGGATTAATGACACCCCTAGAAAAAATGTTCAATTTTTACGGATGGTTAACCATTGCCGCCACGGTGATCATAATTACCACGGCTTTTTTGGTGATCTACCTGTCCAATAACCTTCATTTATCCTTCAGTATCTTCGATTCTCTCCGGCTGATCATCAATGTGGCCATCACCTCCAAAATGGATTCCACAAAAAGCCGAATATTCTTCTCAATGATCTTCCTTTACTTCCTGGTGATCCAAGCAACATTCTCCGGTCACTTGGCAGCTTTTCTGACCAAACCTGAGTACCGTAAAAACGTCGAAAGTCTAGAAGACCTCAAGGATCCACGGTACCAAGTGATTTACGCGCACGAATCCTCAAAAGGTTACATCACAGATGAGTCACTACTCTCCAAGACTATTTTTGGAGAGTATGACTGCAATATTAACACCATAATTAACCCCAGAGCCGCTTGCATTACCAATCACAAAATGGTCAACTACCTGATAGCTCAGTATGATCTCCACCAGGCTAAAAACCCCCTAGTTACTAAGTTCGGCTACTTATTATTGCGGAAAAATTGGAGGCTCAAGGACCGGGTCAATTTTCTAATAGCAAGAATTGTCGACACCGGGCTTAATTTCAAGAAATCTAACTTCTCTGGGTGGAAGATTAAAAGGTACTTTAAGCAGCTGGAAGAAAGGCTTGGTCCTAATTATTACAGGCCTGTCGAGCTCCAGGATCTGCTTTTTATATTCGTCCTGCTTAGTGTTGGGCTTCTGGTGGCAATTTTGGCGTTTTTGGGGGAATTGGGGGTTCAAGCATGGAAGGATCATCAGCTGGGGATTAGGAAAAGGTGGAGGGCGGCTAAAACGGGGGTTAAAATTGTGAGGAGTATGGTCTGGTTTAAAATTAAGAAGTGGACGAGAAAACAGGGGAAAAAGCGGAAATCTAGGTCATAAGAAGGTTATTGGGTAAAGGAGATTGTAGTCAGAGAGATTCTCTGTAGTTTGGGTAGCCACGTGGTTTTTTATACGACCGTGTGTTCATGTGTGCTCTTATGCGCTTTTTGTGTGCGTAATTAAAGGAAATTTTGTAGAGAAACTAATGGTGCTATTGGAAATTTAATAAAAAATTTTTCAAGTATTTTAAGAGTTGTTTTTTACACGCTTTTTATTAGCTTCACCTGTATGTATGTTTGTATGTTTGTAACCGACTTGTTTGGGCGCGATTTTGACCGACTTTAAACGGCCCGGATTTCGTTGAAACTTTGTAGATTTATCGAGGACCGATGACAATACACTAATTTGATAAAATTATGCCATTTTTCAATTTGCAAAATATGATTTTTGTTAATTTATATAATTTTCATCTATAGTCGATAAGGTAAGAAACTTAATTTTAATTTTTTATAATTTTTCTCTACAGTCGATAAGACAGGACTTGATGTTAATTTTAATTTCCAATAATTATCTTCAGCCGATTTCTCTAATATTGACAAATTTTCGAATACTAAGGAGAATTTTAATTCTACAAAACAAATAATAGTTTAAAAAAACTAAAAAATCACGCTTTTATAAATAAACCAAACTAAAAAGTAAAAAATAAATAATAGTTTAAAAAAACTAAAAAATCACGCTTTTATAAATAAACCAAACTAAAAAGTAAAAAATAAATAATAGTTTAAAAAAACTAAAAAATCACGCTTTTATAAATAAACCAAACTAAAAAGTAAAAAATAAATAATAGTTTAAAAAAACTAAAAAATCACGCTTTTATAAATAAACCAAACTAAAAAGTAAAAAATAAATAATAGTTTAAAAAAACTAAAAAATCACGCTTTTATAAATAAACCAAACTAAAAAGTAAAAAATAAATAATAGTTTAAAAAAACTAAAAAATCACGCTTTTATAAATAAACCAAACTAAAAAGTAAAAAATAAATAATAGTTTAAAAAAACTAAAAAATCACGCTTTTATAAATAAACCAAACTAAAAAGTAAAAAATAAATAATAGTTTAAAAAAAAAATGAAAAAAAAATGTATTTTATTTTAAAAAAAGCGTCGGGTGCTTTTTAAGATATTATCAAAATGATAATCACTCTACTCATATCTGTCGATAAAATATTTATAACTATTGACACCATGTACTCGACGCTTATTTTTAAATAAAATAATTTTTTTTTTATTAACACTATTATTAATTTATATTTATTGAAATTTTTAACACTATTCTTAATTAAAATTTATTTTCTATTTTTTAGTTCGGTTTTCTATAAAACGCGTGTTTTTAGTTTTTTTAAACTATTATTTATTTTTTAAGTTTCAATTAGACGATTATCGAAGTCACATCTTTTATGTGGTAATACTCGTACTTATAGATTAAGGATTTTCTCAGCTTATCTCTACTAACTTGCGAGGGAATACTTTTATCCGTCGGGTTTTACTACTTGGAAAAATAGTTTTTAGAGATAATTTATAAGGGTGAAAATAATTATTAAAATTCTCCTAGTGTAATTATTTTTATTAAATTATCCCTTTAAAATTCCAACTATGAGAGCCGTAGCCACCTAGTGGAATTTTTTCAAACTAACTTTTTGACCGATTTTATTTTTAATAATTATTAATAATAATTAATAATTATTAAATCTAGGGGGTATAAAGGGATAATAAGTTAATATTGAGTGTTTTTAGGATTTAGATGTGTGTTAGAAAAATAATAAAGGGTGTTATCGAGCCTTAAGGTCCTTAATGGGATTCTCGAGTAGTGAAAAGTTCGATAAAGTCCTTACTTAAGAGAAAGAGTTGACATGTTGTGAAAAAGGTGACGGGAGCACCCAAGTATCAACTTGAGTGAACAGTTGAGTGCTAGTACCTCCAGATGGTGCCTTCTTACTAACTTACACTCTTTCAAAGTGAGTACATTCAAACTTGTAAGAGATTGCTCTTTTTTCCTTACTTTAGTATGATTTTTTTGAAATTAGGAAAAAAAAAATTATAAAGCCTAACGGCTTTATTTGCTCGAGGAATTTATGTTTGAAAAAGGTGTTTTATCAGACGGGAATTATCAAAATATCCAGCTCGAAGCTCGTGTCGGACTCTGGAGATACCATCACCAATTATTCCTCGGACAACTCTCGAGTACCATCAAGGCCTTCCCTCACACTCACTTTATTCTCAAACAGGTTCTCGAGCACGAGCCTGTCAATTACCTCCGAATTTTAAATTTCAATCTTTGGATTATAATACTATTAAGACACTTATAGGAGAGTCACACAAGTCAAAAATGAAAAAAAAAAAATTTTTTTTTAAATTAGTTGTTACAAAAATAAAATTTTGATGGCAGATTTTGGATAAATGACTACGAAGGGTTCTAGATCTGGTTCAGAAGTATCGATTTAAAAAAAAAATTTTTGAAATTGGACAATTCCAAGGCTTATAGTAACAAAATCAAAATTTTGGAAAAAATTTTGATGTGAAATTTTGAAAAAATGACTACGAAGGGTTCTAGATCTGGTTCAGAAGTATCGATTTAAAAAAAAATTTTTGAAAATTGGACAATTCTAAGGCTTGTAGTAACAAAAATAAAATTTTGGAAAAAATTTTGATGTCGGATTTTGGAAAAATTACTATGAAGGGTTCTAGATCAGGTTCTGGTGTATCGATTTAAAAAAAATTTTTGAAAATTGGACAATTTTAAGCCTTCTAGTAACAAAAATAAAATTTCTGAAAAAATTCATGGTTTTCTAAGGTTCCGGGTTCGAATCCCGGAGGTCATTTTTTATTTTTTTTTTTTTTTTAGACGGGACCACTCGAGACATGTTTAAAGACCAAAATGTGGAAATCCGTCCTTTAATTTAAAAAAAAAAAAAAAAGACTCATTTAAAGAAAACTCGGCACTTGACGGCTTGCCGTCAATGGCTCTCCTATCTCTTAATGTGTGTATATGTGTGTTTATTTAATATAGTCACTGTTTGCTCAGTAATGAGATTTTATAAATACGTAAATTCATTCCGCTAACTTTGACTCGGTGAAATATTTTTTATATTTTGTCTATTAAATTTTTTCGCTAGAATAAATACAGAACACATTTGTATATATTTTTGTTTTAATAAAAAAATTTTTTTTTTTATAGAAAATCATTTTTTTCCTGATTTAAAAAATTTTAATTAAATTATTAGAGTGTTAAATTAATGACTTATAAGGTTCAGGGTTCGAGTCCTGGTAAATGTTTTTTTTTTTTTTTTTCTAACTATTTAACAATAGAAAATTTTTAATCAATTTTTTAATAACATTGAACGTTTATTTTAATAAAAAAGGATAACCGTAGAAGGGAATCGGAGCGAGTCACGCGAAACCACAAAGAAAATTATCATTGAGACTTAGATTGCCGAGAATATGATACTCCTTAGATTCCCATGCCTTCATTAAGCCATGACAATATTACCAGGCGACATTAAAAAAAATTTGTGGTAATATTTAAAACTTTAATTTTCACAAATAAAATTTTAATAAAATTTTTTTTCCAGATACAAAAGTCGATACAAAATTACCGGCACGCAAAGTTACGGTTACGCCCACGAATCTCGAGAATGTTAACTGATAGGAGCTATCTATAGCTGGAGGTGCGTGAGAGTATTTACTCTTTTAAAATCCGCTTAGCTTTTATTTTTCTTTACCCCTTCCCCTTAATCTATATTATTAAAAGAATTAGCAAAATTTTGTAGCCAGTATATTTATATGATAAAAAGGGTTTTTATGGTTAAATAAATACATAATTAAGAAATGACCTTGTATCTTGTGAACTGTTGACATTTTTAAAGATATAAGCTCATCTTGACATTACA